AATACGTCCAAGAAGTTTGACCCATTTAAAATGCTTAGTTTTAGAAAAAGTACAGCTTAAAGCGAGAAACGATTTACAATTTCATATTTTTTACCCTTCTTTTTTTAAATATGCCCGAAAATACTGAATATATGAAAAAAAATAAAAATTATCAAATTGTAGCTTTTTTAATCACTAAAATTATCCTTTATTTAGATTTGTTGTACAATGAATATTTGGCGAGATATAGCCGTTTAAAGCATCGATTTACGATCAAGCACCATCTTTTTCAAGCCCTTTAAACTCACCCCATTTAAAAACCAAGGGTTCCAAAAAGATTTAATTTACAGATCCTTGTAGCTATTAAAAACCTCTACAAATTGTTTTTAAAGAAACACTCTATCGTTAAAAATTAAAGGAAATACGTTAAAAAACCAGTTAATTTTTTTCCGGAAAATTCCATTAGTATAGTACAGTACATTTCGGAGCATAATAATCTACAAAACCGGTATATTAGCTAGTGGGGGCGTTATACATTCGAAATTTTAAGCTTTCTTATTTTGAAATCCCATACAACGGAATAAAACATCTGCTCATATGTCTATGGCTTGGCAATGAAAATATCAGAGCAACAGATTGGGGATGGTTTGTTATTACCCGTACGCATGAACAAACAACCTGCACCCGATAAATTTTTGAAAATTATTTTTTGCCAATGCAAAAAAAGATGCGGCGTTTCATATGGGTGCAGAAAAGTTGGTTTATACTGTAACTCTACTTGTTCTGGGTGCTCAGGTGAAGGGTGCAATAACAGTCCACCAATAATTGAAGAAGATGAGGATGACATAGATCACGATGAAGATGTAATTGATGACGAATAAAATTAATATTATAATTGTTTTACCTATAAATGTAAATATTTTCAACTATTTATGTAAATGTATAAGAATATATGGTGCCTTTTTATGTTGATAATTTTTCTTTGTATTTAATTCTACTTTTTTCAATTTATATCTTATAAATTAGTTTATAAAAACTGCAATGTTGTAAAGGGTGATTTTGAAAAGTTGCAAAATTTTGGCAAAAAATTGTTTTCACCTATAGCACTCATGACAATTGATTTTTAAGGGTTGAAAATGTATGAATTTGTATTTTAAAGTATAAAAAACTCACTATTTAACTAATCCAAACCAAATTTCACTCATCTTAAGATTTGTAATATTATTTTACAATTTTTTAAAATTAAGGGTAGTTTTCACCCCTAAGAACAATCAGGGTTCATCGGCATGACATAAACTATAAAGCAGAGGGTGAGTTGAGCTTAATTCCAAATTTTTAAGCAAATCGTTCCAAGGTGAAATCATTTTCTTCGCATTACTAATTTTTTTATATTAATCTCTAATAAGGGTCGCTTTTTAAGGGTTGAAATATGATGGAACTTTATTCAAAAGCACGAAACTATCATTATTTAATTAATTCAAACCAAATTTTACCCATATTCAGGTTTAATATGTTATTTTATAATTTTTGACAATTAGGGGTAGTTCTCACCCCTAAGAACAATCAGGGTTCGTCGACATGACATAAACTATAAAGCAGCGGGTGAATTGAGCATAAATCCAAATTTTTATCCAAATCGATCCAAGGCGAAATCATTTTTTTAGAATTAGTAATTTTTTACATTAATCTCTAACAAGGGTTGCTTTTTAAGGGCTGAAATATGATGGAACTCTATTCAAAAGTATAAAATAATCATTATTTAACTAATTCAAACCAAATCTTACCCATATTCAGGTTTAATATGTTATTTTATAATTTTTGACAATTAGGGGTAGTTTCCACCCCTAAAACTCTTCAGCGCACTTCGGTTCGATATAAATTTCAACTGGATACATGCAGGACGAAAAAATTGCGAGGTTTTAACTTTTTTCGAGCTTCATTTCCTGAACTATTATCGTCTCCTTAGACAAACCCGTCTTACGCAAACAACTTTGTTGCGAGACAGATAGTTGAACGATATTTTATACAATGTCTATACCCAGGTATGGATTTATTTTTGTCCAAGTTTTATATTGGTCCACTATTTCAAATGCAGTTCAAACAGACATGTATTAAATTGTATGTTCCGTTTTAATTTGGTTCAATCTGTATATGAAATAATAAAAAAGTAAACAACTTAACGTAATCTGGTATGCAGCCGACGAAATACTATTCTCTCAAAGTGAAGATGATTTACAACGTATGCTGCATCAATTTAATATAAGCACCAGAAAATTTAACAAGTTAAATTTTCCCAAAAATGGCAAATAGAGCGTCGGATTTCAATACGAAGTTCAACCGTGATTTTTTCCCTATGCCTTTTTGTGTACTAAAAATGTCATATGAAATAAGCAAAAAAAAAGGAAATGTAGACTTCAACCAGGTGCGTTTTTTTGAAAATCGAATTTTTCTTATTATAAAAAATTTGTTTGATTCCACGATTTTATCCCTTATGCCATTTTATGAATCGATAAAGGAATATTAATTCTACTTTTAAAAATTTTGGCACACTGGCAAAATACACTTTAAAAAATGTGCAAAAATGTTTCAGCATCGGTCCGAGAAAGTGCAACCATTTTCTCCCTTATCCTTTTTGAGTAGGCATACTGTAGGCGATTGATATAATCATAGGCACTCTAAAAGTCAATGGGGAGGTGATGCGTGTCTGTATTAAATTCGCCCACTTTTTCTAGGATTCGCCTCAGTGTAAAGATTAGATCTATTGTTGATTGTTGCATGCAGAAACCTTATTTGCTCATATACTAAATTGCTCATATATTTAGTAATTAGTGTTGCCCAAATGCAAGAACAAGACGAGACTTACATGTACTAAAACATGGTTAAAACACTGTATTTTAAAGAACATTATTTGCCTAGAAAGGAATTTATGGACCCCCCACCATATATGAAATGGAAATCTTAAAAAAGATTGGTATGTGGCAAAAAATACACATACATGTATCAAGGGCAGAGATTCTTTAGGTGATAAGATATCAAACTACAGTAGACTCCCTCTAACGAGAACTGAAAAGGCAGACTAATTAACTCGTTATAAGCCGATCTCGTTATATCAGACAACAATAATACTGTGCATACATATGAATATGTAGTTTTCTAAAACATTACTTTCCTATAGTGAAGCCCTTCGGAACAATATAAGATGCTAAATATTGTTTGAATGGCGTTTTTAAAAAATAGTTGTTCACTTTTATTGTCAATGAAATACATTAAAACAAAAAAGAGTTGTGTACTTTTATTGTCAATGATATACGGTAAAACAAAAAATATGTACTCGTTCTATCTATCATATTTTCTAAAGATGTAAAACAGTTGTATGCTTCTTCATCTGCGTTTTGTCTTTGGATAAAGGTTCCTACAACGTTTAAAGCATTTTCCACATCTTGTATATTAGGACCTTCTTGCGTAGATTCACCGCGATTGTTTTCTCCATCTTCATCACTTTCATCACTTATAAGCGAAACCTCGTAATAATCGTGTTCGTTATAGAGGGAGTATACTGTATAATCAACTTATTAAAGCTACATAAATGTTGTTAACAATCTTAGTTAGTTCTACTTTATATAAAAAAATAACTTGAAAAAATAAAGAATAATTAAAAACGCAATGATAATCAAAAGAAGTTATTTTAAATTAAGGAGATATCTACTCTAAATACATTAATGTACCATCATTAATGTTTTTTACATGTCCACTTTTTCCAACGATTATTAAAAAGCTGGTGGTATCTCCACCGAATTTTGGTTTTTCAGGAAGAAATATTCTCCTCCTTAAACCTGACGTGTTTCTGTTTTTAATTTTCATTTCAATCTTTCTATGTAGGCACAATTTACACAAAGCAATTTGGAATGCATGAATTATTTCGAAAATCTCATCAAATTTGCTTTTAGATCTTTTAGATCTATAATTCCAACTTTCACTACTCCGAGTAGAACTATTTGAATCGTTGTCCCTTTGTCCGTCAAGTTGTAAACTTCAATTGGAATGAAATTTAGTGATGCCGAAAAAATAACTACTAGTAGTTACTTTATATCCGTTACTATCCAATACCCTAAGTATCTAATTAACAAACCGAGAATTATCTATCGTTACTTCGTTATTCTAAATATTTCGGTATTTTGTTTACACGTTAGGCGACATTATCTGTTATTAATTTGGCTCGTTACTTTTTATTATCCATAAATAATATATTATTATATTACTTAATATTAGCCGCGCTCTTTCAGCAAATTTCGTTTAACCGAATGATCTCATCGCACACTCAGCAGAAGCAATGTTTAGTCTTAGGCCGATAAGATTTGTTTATCTAGATTCCTCCTAACTAAATTATAATGGGAAAAAAATTGAATTATTAAGTGGGTGTCCGTAACAATAAGTGTTATTAGCTAAGATCATATACTGACACAATTTTAAAAAAAATCGATACGATATTACTGTCGACTTCGCAATACAAGAAGATTATTTTATAATTAGAGGACGGCTATTCTCAACATCTGGATAATTAATTTCAGATTGAAGAAGTCGTCTGCTGGAAAAGAATATTTTCTTTTTACATTGTAATTATGACTTCTGAGCACGTGTCAAATGTAATTTTTTAATGAATATTTTGATTCGGTATGTATGTTTATGGTATTGTTCGTAATGCGCGTAAGTCCAGTTTTTCAAATTTTTATGACATATTTTTTTGCATCTCATAGAGTCTTTAAGCATATACTCGAACTACTAATAGCCTGCATGGTTTAAATAAATGTTTGCTGCCTTCCAAAAAGAGTGGGCTGGCTTTTGCTTCCAGTTACGATAATAATTATATTTTATTAATATTATAATTCAGTCAAATAAGTATACTTTGTTCTATTAAACATAACTACTTCCCCTTTCTTCTGAGATTTTTTTAATCGACCGTAAAATCTTTTTTTATTTAAGTATGTACATGATAGTGGTTTGATATATAATCACGATTTTAGGTTTTTCCTATGAAGATATACAAACTGATGAACAGTTATTCAAAGATCATGTTAGAATTACCGCTGATATGGACCAATGTTTAAGTGCCTCGACTAATATGAACACCGAGAAAAACTACTTTACCACTGAAAATTTGCGATGTACAATTTTCAACAAAGAATCATTTAGAACCAGATACGAGGGTTTACGCTGGAGACCAAGTTTTCACGTGTACAATATGCATTAAAAACTTTTCAGAAAGTTCTGATAAGTCAAGTGTAAACAGTCACGCTGCACATACGGCAAATTTCACATTTTAGAACGACAAAAGTCAATTTTCAAATAATATAACAACTAAGCCGAAGTAACTTTTATCTATTCTCTGATAATCAGTCTATTCGTAAGAAAGGATTTCTATTGAAAAGGGCATCAGGGGATCATGCGCATGAACATAGGGTCAGCGACCTGCCAGCACTACCCGTCAGCTTTTATTTGCGTTTGAATCTTCAACGTAGTTGGTGCTCTCCTGTATTTTTGTCTAGTGACCTTGTCAAACTTTTTACCATGGAAGCTGAAGCGTCAGGTATGTACTTGTAAATGATATAATTATTGCACTTAAACATTAAAGGATAGATATGTAAAAATAATAATTTATAAATGAGAGTTCTGTAGTCGAATCTTACTCAAATTTAAATCTTTACTTTAGCTTACACAAAAAGTACCGTTTAGTACCGTTAACTTTTTTTGTTTCTAAGAATCTGCATATATTTGTGATTCAAATGTAGGTTAGAAACACTTCCCCTCATGTCCCCCATAAATAATAGTATCTCTTTGTTCGCAGGTAGTCGTGATTACCCCGGATCTCGTGAAAAGAAAATTCGTAAAGAAGAACTATTTGTTGTGTTAAAAAAAGATAATTTTTTCAATTTATCATCATCGCAGTGCATTAAAAGATTACAAAAGTACATTGTAGAAAAGTTTTAGTGTTAGTGAAAGTGTTCCCCTAACAACTGCTATTAAACTATTTGTATCAAAACTTTTATCCAAGTGGCGAACTTGTAAATACATGATGGACCGCTTTAAAAAGAACAATAATTGTATGGCTTAATGGATACTTGACGATACAACGTATGTCACAGCAGACACCAGATAACAGAAGACGCGGAAGACCACGAAAACTCTTCGATTGCAGCTCTGATCGCAGTAAGCAAAGACAAATTGAACCTTTTGTCTCTGAAATGAGTTCAAGCGAGATTTGCTTGGCTGCACAGTCAAGCTTAGTAAAATCAGGCAAAAGAACCGCAGCGCAAGTTGTAAAGTTAGTTACAACTTCATCACCAAGAAGTTTGAGAAAAATGAAATATGCGCGTGAGTCAACTTCAACAGTGCAACAATACACTCCCGATGAAGCTCTGGCACTGTTGTCGATTTAGGCCTTACTAAAGAGGATTACATAACGATGCAAAGGGGAGCAAAGAAAAGAGCAGCAGACATTTATCCCTCATACCCAATACTTACAAAAGCTAAGAAAAGTTGTTACCCATCAAATATTAAAATCACAGAAACAGAAGCTTCAGTACCTTTGCAAGATATTTTAAATTTAACCATTCAAAGGCTAGTACAAGTGCAATCTGAAGTATTGCTGCAAAATATTTCAGAGGAGTTTGTGAGATTGATGTTTTCTATAAATGGGGTCTAGACGGAAGTGGTGGGCACAGTATTTATAAACAAAATTTTTCTAACGATTCAATATACGCAGATTCAAACATTATTTTAGCAACCATAGTACCTTTGGAAATGTCTAAGAGGGATGGCGATAACAAAAAAAATCTTTGGAAAAATTCGAGTCCATCTTCTACAAGATATTGCCGGCCAGTTAGCTTCAAACTAATGAAAGAAAGCAGTGAAAACACAAAAACAGAATATACCAGTATCCAGGCTCAAATTGATAACTTGCTCCCTACAGAAATAACCTTAGGTAACAAAGAATTGTCATTTAAGCATATAGCGATATGTACGATGCTTGATGGAAAAACGGTAAATATTTTAACAGAAACGTCCTCATCGCAAGCTTGCAATGTTTGTAAAGCCACACCTAAAATTCTAAACGACTTGGAGATCTTGAAAACCAGACCATGTGACGTGGATACTTTTAAATTTGGTATTTCTGTACTTCACGCACACTTGAGATGTTTAGAATATTTGCTAAATATTTCTTATAAATTGGAACTCCAACAGTGGCAAGCGAGAGGCAATGAAGCCAAAGAAAAGGTGAAGAAAAGACAACAACACATTACCAATCTTTTTTATAAAGAAATGGGCCTTGTTGTCGACCAACCAAAACAAGGAGGTGGGAACAGTAATGACGGGAACACAGCACGAAAATTTTTTGACAATCCTATCTGGGTATCCAAAATAACGGGCTTAGACAAAGATTTGATAGAGCGGTTTTCCAATATCTTAAGCATTCTGTCTAGTGGGCATTACATTAATGAAACAGTTTTTAAAAAATATTGTTATGATACGGCTGAAATGGCTATTAGATTGTATGGTTGGTATAAAATGAGCGCCACTGTCCACAAACTACTTTTACATGGACCTGATATAATAACCTCATTAAGCTTACCAGTGGGCCAACTGACCGAAGACGTTATAGAAGCAGGCCATAAAGATTACAAAAAATTTCGTCAATTTAATTCTAGGAAAACGTCAAGGAAGGAAACCAACGAAGATATTTTTCACTGGATGTTGATATATTCTGACCCCATTATAACTAGTCGCAGAAAAAAACCAAAATCGAATAAAAAAAAATTCAACTCAGTTGTCCTTGGTATGTTAAGACTACCAACATTTTTGACTACTGAAGAAGTTTTGTGTTTAGACGAAGAATTCTCAGAGATTTAATATTTTTAATAATTTCATTTTTATAATTCTACACTTAATTGTATTATCTAATAAATGCGTAGTTTAAAACACTTTTTTATTTATTTTTTAAGTAACCTGCTGTTATAGGTAGTTTATTGCATAGGCGTAACCAGGACGATCCTAAGGGAGGGGTTACAACTACTGGAAAGGGGGAGTTACAACTATTGGATGGTCTCTGGGGGGTATGGTGTTAAGCGTATAGAGCTCAAAGTACATCCCAATGGGCGAGGGGGTTACAACCCCCAAAACCCCCCTGGTTACGCTCATGGTTTATTGTTACTAATCCATACTAACTACAAAACTTTGCTACTACCAGTAGTAACTTAAACTATCAGAGATAATTTTGTCGTCCTAAAATGTAGAAATTGCCCTATGTGCGCTGTAGGAAAAAAACATTTAACGTGTGGAGATTATTCTAAAGAGTTTAATAAAGATAGTCTTTTAAGAGTACCTACTGGAAAAAATACTTTTCCATGTGAAATTTGCTCCAAATTATTTTCACGAAAGTCCGTTTTGAAAGAACATATGCGAATGCATCTTGGCGATAAACCTTTTGACTGTGAAATTTGCTGCAAAAGTTTTTCACAAAGATCCAAATTAACAGAACATATGAGAGTACACACTGGCGATAAACCTTTTGCATGTGAAATTTGCTGCAAAAGTTTTTCACATAGATCCAGTTTAATAGAACATATGAGAATACACACTGGCGATAAACCTTTTGCATGTGAAATTTGCTCCAAAAGTTTTTCACAAAGATCCAAGTTAACAGAACATATGAGAATACACACTGGCGATAAACCTTTTGCATGTGAAATTTGCTCCAAAAGATTTTCAACAAGATCCAAGGTAACAGTACATATGAGAGTACACACTGGCGATAAACCTTTTGCATGTGAAATTTGCTGCAAAAGTTTTTCACATAGATCTAGTTTAACAGTTCATATGAGAATACACACTGGCAATAAACCTTTTGCATGTAAAATTTGCTCCAAAAGTTTTTCACATAGATCCAGTTTATCAGCACATATGAGAGTACACACTGGCGACAAACCTTTTGCATGTGAAATTTGCTGCAAAAGTTTTTCACATAGATCCTGTTTAACAGAACATATGAGAATACACACTGGCGATAAACCTTTTGCATGTGAAATTTGCTCCAAACGTTTTTCAGAAAGATCCTGTTTAACAAAACATATGAGAATACACACTGGAGATAAACTTTTTGCATGTAATATTTGCTCAAAGAAGTTTCTACGAAGATCAACTTTAACAAATCATATGAGAGTACACACTGGATGTATTTCGGAAATTCACTGAAATTTCACATGTAAATCTTTTGCATTTACAATTTGTATCAAAAATATTCACAAAGTTCGTATTTAAAAAAAAGAACATATGAGAATACACACTGGAGATCAGTTTTGCATGTGAAATTGACACCAGTTTTTTAAAAAGATCCAGGTTAACAGAACGTACATATTATATAAGAATACATATTGGAGATAAACCCTTTAAATGTGAAATTTGCTGCAAATTCTTTTCATATCGGTTATAAATAACCCTTTAATGGGTTATAAAAGAATACACCGTGGAGATAATACTATTGCATGTGAAATTTTGTCATTACCCATATAAAAATGATAGAAAACAGTAATGCATTTTATAGTAAAATCTGGACTAGTGGAATTCATCTTTTTTTATTTATAGTAATAATTAACAAGTAAGTCTTTACATAAAAACATTTTATATCATTTGTGATTAATACATAAACAAAATTTAATACTGAGAATCTTATTGATTTCTTTAAGCATTTATAATAATTGATCTGCAATATTAAGTTTAACACTTACACTGCCACCATAATGAGAAAAAGAGTGTCCTTGGCGTTAATATGTTTCCCTCTATATATATATATATATATATATATATATATATATATATATATATATATATATATATATATACATAATTAAAAACTAAGCATGTATGTACACGTTTCTTTACAAAAAAAAACGTTAATTTGCGTTTGTTAGAGATGAGAATCACCATATGATTCACGTGGCCTAGTTGGCTGATATCGTTTATTTCAGCGGGGTGCATCATATGCCGATTCACACAAAAACCATATAATTCAGGCGGTCTTGTTATCTGATATCGTTTATTACAATTTTATGCCCATTTCCACAAGATGAGTCATTTCTTGCAATTTCGCAAATTTCGCTACAAATGGATATTATTCATTTCCAAGCGTTAGCCCGTAGGTGTTAGTTGATTTCTCTGAGTATTTTGTGTAAATCTTCATACTGTGAAAATGAATTACGAAAAGAACAAGAAAAATTAAATGGTCTGTGGCAGGAATATCTTCGAGATGAAGATAATGAACCAATTAAAAAAAAGTAAAGTTAATAAATCCACCGAGTACTTCTGGCACATCAAGAAATATATCTGATAGTGTAATGGAAAGAATAAATAATATTGAAAACAATTTAAAAGAAAGTGAAGATGAGGATAAAGAAAGTGAACACATTGAAAATAGTGCGAATTTATCGTGGAAAGACGTGAGTGGACAGTAGATGAAATTATTTAATTTCACTGAAATAGATGTTGCTATAAAAGCAGAACTATGTAGCGTTATAACTGCTACATTGCCTGATTTCTTTCTTATGTTAATATATTTCGTTAATTATATTCTCCAATTTCCATATCTTCTGTCATAATTCATATTCTTCTATATCCTCCATTGTATCTCTTATTTTTCTATATATTTTCTAGGATATAGATTGTATCAGAATTATGTCGTTACTTAATTAATTCATTATTCTCTTTTCATTTTTACTGGTATTTAGTATAAAAACCAGTTGGCGTCCAAATCTATCTTCTTTATATATATATATATATATATATATATATATATATATATATATATATATATATATATATATATTAGTATCGACCTTTCCTATTTTCTTAATAATCATCATTTTTTATCTTTTACTCAAGTTTTCTAAAGAGTGAATTTTATTTTCATCTCTATTTCCGTTACTTTGGAACGAGAGGTCCCATCTTTATTCTCTGTGACATTTCTCCTTCCCGTTCGATACAAAAGTCGATTCGATATAAATGGCTTTTATTTTCTGAAAATGTCGATTTTCTTCATGACTTCTCTAAGAATAGAATAATCAATTGTTGTGTCGTCTCCAGATTTGGAGTCAACCTCCGGATACATTTCTCAGGTGCGGGTCAAATTCTATTAACATCCAGAAGACCAACCGGCCTGAGAATGGAACCATCATTCCAATAGGAGAGTTGACTCCGGAGCAAGAAAATCCACCACTAACAACATGGCTTGCTAACAACCAGAGCAGAAAAGACCAGGATAAAACTTAGGATTTGGTGACAAACATTGTTCTTTCATATAACTAATGTAACACTGTAGCAAGAAGTCGAATAATTTTTATTTAAATTTAATACGATACTTAACATTTATTTTTCTGTTTTTTTTATATCTTAATAAACATGTGTTAATTTAACTGTGTATTGTTTCTTCTTTTTACTTGTTTGTGTGTGTTGATCCAGAGTAGGCCATATTCACGTCCTGAGTGAGCTAGCCAGGGAGTGTTTCGTATAACGTCTAATGTAGCAATTTTGTAATTGATACATTAGGGGTTATGACGTTAAAAATTGGTCCCAACGGGAAACGATTTGTCACTCCAACGTTGTTAGTGATGTTAGTCAGGTTATAGCAGCAAACTAAGGTTTGCGGTTACAGGTTGACAACAGCAGCTCAACGTTGGGATGTTACAAATTGAGCCTCGAAGGGTTACAAATTGGCATCCAATGAATATTTGTTGGCATGTCATAGATTGATGTCCAATGAATGTTCGTTGGAACGTTACAACTATATGGTGAATATTTTGATAAAGGTCCTTTAAATTTTTATGAGTTATTTCTTACTGACGAGGAATTAATGGTGACGGAAACAAACATGTATACAAATCAGCTAAAAAGTACTGTAAAATTACCCCATGCCAGAATTTTTGAATGGCATGATACAAATGTTGAGGAAATAAAATGTTTTATTGGGATCATGATTTGGATGGGCTTATGTCGTTTTCCTACAATTAAAAGTTATTGGTCTAAAAGTAGTCTGTACGATAATAAAATGAAAAATTTGATGTCTCGCAACCGTTTCCAATAATTACTCAAGACATGGCATTTTCATAACAACGAAATAGTAACAGATGATAGATTACAAAAAATTTCTCCTTTGATAAACCTGTTGAAAATTTTTTCAAAAATATGTTGTTCCCAAAGAGAATATATGTATAGACGAATCATTAATACCATTTAGAGGACGGTTGAGTTTTCGGCAATATATTAGTAATAAAAGACATAAATTTGGTATATAACTTCCAAATTTATTGTGGCAAGGATAAACTACCAAATCCATCGTCCTCTGAAAATGTAGTACTGACTTTGTCTAATAACCTACTGGATAAGGGACGTACAATTTATACAAATAATTATTACACCATTATTTCTCTAGCCCATAAATTACAGAACAGAAACACTCATTTAGTTGGAACTCTGAGAATCAACCGAAAATTAAATCCCATACATATAATTGATACAAAATTGTAAAAAGGACAAACAGTTGCAGCTGAAAGTAATACAGGAGTGGTGATTCAAAAATGGAAAGACAAACGCGATGTTTATACTCAAAGTAAGTACAGTCTGTCCCAAACCCTTTTTTCAGTGCGTCACTAATTTTGCATGACATTTTAGTTAAATCTGACAGTTGCAGGATCGTAATCGGCTAAATGTGAAAAGGTTATTTTTTTTTAAATGCATAGCAGTTTGTCATAATTCTGTTCTATTCTGTTCTATTTTATACATTCCAAGGAAAGTGCTTAATTAGATAAGATTTGTTTATGGATTTATTATTATTTATTACAAACACTAGGGAATTGGAAGGTTTGTTTATTTAAAATAACGCTTCCTCCTAAAATCTTTTAAGAGTTGACTGCAAGGTAAAAAATTTACTGACAATTGCAATTGCAAGGCATCAAAGTAAACATTCGTCGTAAACATCGATTTAAATCAGTCATATTTGGATAAGTAATTTTCCGATAAGTTTCTGTGGCAGCCAATAGTTTAATTTTGTGAAGATTTGTCATTAAATAGTGGAAATAGTTTAAATAGTGAAGCAGTTGATTTTTGAGTTAATCTACCAGTTCCGGTATCCAGATGAAATCGTGTTAATGGAGTTTATTTAAAAAACAAGATACCGAATGTAAGTTTACCTTCTTTTTTATGAATAACAAAAATGAATATTATATTTCAAACAATCCATAATCCCATTCAGAATCTGATTCTTTAAAATCAATGATTACACTAGATATGGTGGCTGGTATCAATTATATCTTACATTTCAAGAAAATGTCGTGGTTCTAAAAAGAACCGTTTTAATACATATAAATATCCATAACGGTATTAGTTTAAGATATTTTCTCAATATCATTCCGGAATTCACAATCTGATTCGCGAACGACAGAAACTGATAATAAAGATAACTCAGCCTCTTTTTTCTACTAATTTAATAATTTTAATATTAGTCTTTGTTCATTCTCGGTATATCTCGGAATATTTAAAATATTTTTATGACAATAAATACAATATTTAATTTTCACTGTAGGTAAAATGTCTGAAAATACTAACCTGGAACGGCAATTATCATTTTATCAGTTGACATTGTGAAACTACTGTCACTGTCATTATCAAGATCATCTGTGTCAAATTATATTTATATGCATAATTGATTGGATATCTATTTAGCGTATTCTAAACTCCAACCAATTATACGTTCGTAAGTAGAATTCGCTTTAATATGCGAATACCCGTGACCGATACCTAATTTTCTAAGTTCTATGTATAATAATCAGGGACTCGCGTTTTTTTCTGTCACTTCTAGCTTAATGCGTTAGAGAGAATTCGAACAACTATGACGCACTGAAAGAAGGGTTTGGGACGGACTGTACAAAACACACTGCCGAACTCACAGAAGACAGCCAAAAGTTGTAACTGACTACAATAAACATAAAATATACATCGATATGTCTGACCAAATGAAAACATACACCACCTCATTGAGAAAAGGAGTAAAGTGGTATAGAACGTTAGCAATTGGCTTGTGGGTACTACGTTAGTAAATTCCTATATATTACACCAAGAAGTTTCAAATGAGAAAATGACTATAACAAAATTCAAAGAGAACCTTGTAGTAAGCCTAGTAAAGTCCATTCAACAAAACCCTAATTCTAACGACAGTCATTTGTTGGAAGACGTAGGTTCCAGTAATCGTCGAAGGTGTGTTGTTTTTTTTAAATAACTTTTAAAATTTCGCAATTTTTATTAATAAATAAAGTTTTTGTTAATTTCTTAGTAAATTACAATGTATGAAAATGATAATTTTCGTTAAAAACTAAAAAAATAATAGTTGACTTGTGTTGGGAATTTATCTTGCTTGAACAGCCAGCAATTGAACGATTTGTAGTTTACTGTTTTTATTTACGTAAAAACAACTCAAATTCCTACAATATATAAAATTAGCAATATAAAAAAACTAATTAATTCCCATTATTTACTGTTCTCTTGCTGTCTGCTAAATTATTAAATTATTTAAATTTTCCCTAATCGGTGACAGTTTGTTTTCTGACGTTTTGATATTATATTTGACATAGTTTATAGAACAGTAGCAACGGGAAATGTTGGGTAACATGATAGAACTAAAAATTAACTAAATACATTGTATACAAATAATAAATATTCTTAACACTCCCATCCGGTACAGTTCTATGCGAAAGAGAGACTGTACCACTTATTTTTCATCATATTTTTGGTCTCCATTTATTGGTATTACTGCTAATTTTATAACAGGACGTTTATATATTCCACTTTTTGTTTGAACTATTGCTCGTCGCACTTACCCATCAGGTGATTCTTTAACTTCAATTACCTTACCCTTTGGCCAATTGCATCTTGGCAAATCTTCATCACATATAATTACAATATCGCCCTCTTTAATTGGAACAACTTGTTTATGCCATTTTGCCCTAAGTAGTAGTTCAGCTATGTATTCAGAAATAAAGTGTCGCCAACATTTATTTGCAAATTGCTCTCTGTATAATTAAATAAAATTTAAATACTTTAACATCTTTGTTTAAAAATCCAATTGGTTTATCTCCGTTTGAAGATCCAATTAAAAAACGATTTAGAGTTAGAGATTCAGATTCTTCAGATTCTATTGGAAGATAAGTAAGTGGTCTTGAATTTACTGGTTTCTGCAGCTATGGGATAACTATAAAGTAATTGGTCAGTAGGGTTCCTGGATGATAATGAATCATTGAAATTTTAACCGCTTTCACTAAGCGCTCCCAGACTCCACCCATATGTGGGGAAAGGGGTGCGTTGAAGTGAAATTTTAGCTCTGGGCTAATCAGTGAATTGACTATTAATTTACTATCAACTTTTTGCAGTTCTTTTCTCAATACTCGTTCAAATGCAATAAAATTCGTACCTCGATCACAATACATATGCCTTGGTCGTCCTCTTCTGTTAATAAAATTTGTCAAGCATAGTATAAAACTGTCCACATCTAATTTGTAAGCTACTTCGAGATGGACTGCTCTAGTCGTGAGACACATAAATAAAGCTCCCGTCTTCCAACAGTAACGTTTATTGGACCAAAATAATTCATACCAGTGTGTGTAAACGGAGCAGTAAATGTTGCAAGTTTACATGGCGGTAGAAGTGACATTTCTGGTGGTTTTGGCTTAGCAGATTTGACCTGGCAATTTTGACAATTGGTCCTAATCTTATTAACTAGTTGTCTAAATTTTTATATATAAAATTTTTGTCTTATCTCATTTACTATAATTTCATGATTTCTATGGTGATATATTTTGTGATAGTCTTCAACAACTAGCAAAGTTAAACCACTTTCTCTCGGTAAAATTATTGGCCTTTTTGTTTCTGAAGTAACATCTCTAGCTTCATCTAATCTTCCTCTTAAACGAAGTAAACCATCTTCATCCAGATATGGCGATAATTTAAATAAACTACTTGACTTATTAACTGTTTCGTGTAAACTACCAGAATTACTTGTTTTTAATTGTTTCATTCCATTTTTGAAATATTCACATTGAGTTTGCTTTATTAACATATTCCTAGCATCTAAAAGTTCTTCTGCAGTTAATATTCCTTTAGGCTCTTCAGATTTCATCAATTTTGTATAAATTATTCCTAAAAATCGAAACACATACGCAGTTGCTCTTAAGTACAGTACGCAGTAGGTACATATCTCCAATGTGATACCATTGAGATTTGTTGAATTTCGGCTACCCTGTAAGCTACATATTTTGGTAATTTTCTTGGGTCTTCATTTCTTAACCAGCTTAAAACTGTTGAAGAATCTGTCCAATAAACAATGTTGTGCACAGGTATGGAAAGATGTTGACAAAGGTTTTTAG